AAGCGTAAAAATTGTTTCATTCAAATCCACACGAATTTGTTTAATAGGCTTACGGAGGGCTGAGAGGGGCCGTGGCTTTCGCTTTGATCGCTCTTTTAAAAAGTTATGAAAATTCTGGAATTTATTCTTTGAGTCTTCTGAAGACCACCACTTTGTTTGTCATCTTATTTACTGTATTTATTTTGGTAAATATCTAACTTATTTCATACAAACAACACTATTGTGCATGAATTTCAACTATTTTGCTATAAACTAGAAGTTGTTATAAAATAATTTACCTATGTTTAAATTTCCAACAAACGTTTCTAACTTAATATTTAGTATTGAGTTTATATATCCAGTGTGACTTTGTTATATAACAGTAACGGGGAATTTAAAAATGTATACTTTACATTATATCGGGGTTTGAATTATAGATATTAAACTATTCATAGGAAAAATCTATGCCTTATAACAAATTTAACTGTATAACCGAGCGGCTTATAACGAGGTGATACTGTATATGGGTTGAATAACCAATGACTAAAATAAATTGCATAAGATTTACATAAAAACAAGTGTTAATATATAGTATTTCTACACCGAAAGGGCGCCACAACTAAACCATTGCTTAATTATCTGCGAATTAAGCGAGAAGTGAAAGAAGAGGCACAACTCTTTCATTTGGTTAACGCTAAGGTAATCATCGCTTCATTTTAAATGCATTTTTACTCATTTTTAGATTAATTATAATCTGTTTTAAAGTTTATTGAAAGCATAGTTTTCGGTGTGTCTGACATTACAGGTATGTTTTTAAGCCTACACTCGTGTCTCTCTTTAAACGATGGCATTTGATATTTATATTAAATCTTTAATTATCTTTTAGGAGTTCATACGTTTAACCACTACTGGACCGTAAGTTTAAATACATTATTATTGTATCATGGTAGTTTATTTTAATTTCTTTTAGAAAAAACTTGTTAAGATTAACGAAAAATACGTTAAAAAGTACTTAACTCATGGAAACAACGAAAAAAATATCGAAAAAATTCTACAGAAATTAATTTTAAAGTAAGTTTTCTTTATTTACTATTTTATTATTTGTTATTTTAAGAACTAAAATTAATTCAACACATATTAGTAATATGATATTACGGTAGATTTATTTAAAATTTAAATTCTAAAGTATTATACAGTAGTGTTTAACTGAACAATAAACTATTATGATAATTCTACGTAATTTGTAACAGCAATCACTCCATCTCTATGTTTTATAATAAGAATTTAAATCGATTCTCTCTCTCTCTCTCTCTCTCTCTCT